CACACACACACACAAATACACACACAGACAACCCCGTGACAATATGCGTTTTGTACTGCTGTTACATAGCACAAAACACATAAAAACTGTTTTAAATACTTTCATCAAATTCATGATTTTCTAGCTGGTAAAGTACCATCTCACCGTGGTCTACGAATGGCATCATTCGAAGCGAAAGAGTATTGCTCAAATGCATCAAAGACATGTCAATTCGGCTAAAGCTAAATATTCATATTGTAAAAACTGTGGCACACCTATCACGAGAACGAGCAAACATCAATAAAAACTCCATAAGGCTGTCCAAAACAACTGAAAAAGCTGCCAAACTATAAAAATTATAAAAGCAGAACAATTTCGATTGATAAAACTGAGAGCGAAGAACAAAGCACAATTCAAGAGACATGCCTGTCCGATGAACGAAAATGTGCTTACTTTAGTTGGATCATAGGGTGCATCTTTCGAGGGAATCTCCAGTACAGCCGGTATGCTGGCAGTATGTTCGTCAACTGCAAAACGTATTTGTTCAGCGATGTGTTGATTGATGAGAATTATAGCGATATCGTCGCGCGCGCAGAATCCCTTGAAAGCCGTCTCGATTTCGCTCACTTCCGTGCCTTTTCCCACTATCAAGTAATTCGGTTTTCGCGCCTACAAAACAACAGCCCTTTATAGTGACGAGAGGACTGAAACAGCCAAAATCAGAAATCTAACAATACAAAGCGAACTTGAGCAACTTCTGCATGAAAAACCGGATGAATTTGTTGATGTTTAATAAACTGGGCAGCCTCTAGTAAGCAGACCTTGTTGAGTTCGCCAACGCCGCCGAGCAGGAAGCCAACCACCGTATCTTCGTCGCCTATCACCGCGAGAATCTTCGCTTTCTGAGCCGAATGTGCCATCTCAAAATAGACAAACACGTGAACCACTGTAAGCTTAATTTCACTGCATGCATGCCTCACATACACCGACTTTCGAGCCACACTGCACACCGAGCGAAGCACGGGCAGAGCCCTGAGATTACGGGTCTTCACGCTGCATACACAGTGCTAAGAAAGAATTCGATATGCGAGCGAGATGGTTCAGCAAGTGCCAGAGGGTGGCCGAGAAGTATCATCTATCTCGCTGTGGCCAGTTTTTATCAAGCAAAATCAGAGCAGTGCT